CTGTTGTTGTGTCATAAAGAATGCCGCACTTTTTTGCAACTCTGTTGTCTTCTTTATCGCCATATCCCTACATAAATTATTTATTTATTTATTTATTTATATTATTATTTATTTTCTTTTTCTTTTTTCTTTTTATTTATTTATTATTATTTATTTTATTTATTATTTATTTTTTTTTTTTTTTATTTATTTTTTTTCTTTTCTTACCTGTAGGCGACGCGTACGGCCTCATAGTTGATGACCTCTGTATATTTATATTTAATTATATATATAATAATAAATAAATAAATAATAAATAAATAAATAATTAAAATTATTTATTTATTTATTTATTTATTTATTTATTTATTTATTCTTGTTACCTTGGCAATATTCCCAATCACGTGCTCCTTTCCCTAAGAGTTGTACCTCTACATAACACCATTCCCTGCCTGCATGCGTATTTATTTAATTCTTTCTTCTTATATACTAGTAAACCCTAAACCCTAAACCCTAAACCCTATTAGTCTCTCTCTATAAGAAAGGGGGAAAGAGGTAACTAATGACCCCTTATATAGACCCTTATACTAAAACTAATACATTAAATAACTATATATTAGTCTATAGACAAAGATAAAGGAGAAAAGAATAATTATTTGTTTATTCTTTTTCTTTATTTACCTGATATTCCTTCAGGGTTTCTTGCTGTTGTACAATCTGTGTATGTCCTTCCGTCTTGTACGAAGGCAGCAGCACAAAGACGACCATCAACAGTTTTTCTATGGAGTTGACGGTATTCAGTAAGACTCTATAAGTAATTAAATAAAATAAATAAAACAAATTAATTAAATTAAATAAATAAAGGAAAAAAAACTAAGAAAAAGGTCTATTTAATGATATAAATACCTGGAGAGTTTTCCTATCATAACCTGCTTCTTGTGCATAACTAAGTGTATCTAAGGAGAAAAAGGAGAAAAAGAGAAAAAAAGAATAAATAGCCATTTATATATAAATAAAAGAATTAAAATAAACAAATAAAGAGTTATAAATAAACAAATAAAGAAATATTTCTTAGGAAAAAGAAGAAAAAGAAGAAAAATTATTTCTGAATATTTACCGATAATTTATTGAATAAATAATCGGTAAGCTGCATGTACACCTGAATAAAGAAAGAGTAAAAAAAGGAAAAAAAGAGGAAAAAGAAGAAGGAAAGAAGCAAATAAATAAATAAATAAATAAATTATTTATTTATTTATTTATTTAATCATCATCATCATCATCTATCTTATCGAACTCATCCATGCCATTTAATACAGTTTGCCTTCTTTCTATTTCTTCTCTACTAAGTTGTTTTTCTTCTCCTTCTCCTTCTTCTCCTTCTTCTCCTTCTTGTTCTTTTTCTCCTTTTTCTTGATTATTTTTATCATTATTATAATAATTATTATCTATATTATCTTTATTTTTTTTATTTTCCTCTATTTTTTCCTTAATTAATTGTATAATTGCCTTATCTGTACGTCTAGATAAGATTGTTATTTTTCTTTCTACATCTCTTTTTAAATCCCAATTAGGACGACGAGGAACAACTTGTGATAAAATATCCTAAGAAAAAAAAAAAAAAAAAGAGGAAAAAAAGAGGAAAAAAAA